CCAAGTTACAATGATGCAAGTAGCCATGTTGCCCACTTGATGTTTTGTTCATGGGAGTGTGCTCACAAAGTAATTATTGCTTAACTTTGTTAAAATCAGAAAGGTTTCAGTGTCTAATAGCAACTGCTGTAGTTGATGCCAATTTGAAAATTGAAAGTAAGCCTGCTGGAACACGCTTCATTGTACTGAGTGATCGATAGAAGCTAGCCTGTAGGTGGCATTGTGACTTTGTTGCTCTATAATATTTTAAAATGTCAGAAAATAGTGAAAAATGTTTACGTCCTACAGTGACATCTTCAGTTACTTTTTTTTTCCAGCATGCATTTTAAAACCCAGAGCCAAACCCAGTTTACAATGATATAACAGAGAAAAGCAACAAGAGACAACATTTAAGAAGGTGGAACCACAGAATGTTTGACAAGTTTTCCTGATTAATCACTTGAATGATCAAAATAGATGCAGATTAAGTTTCTGTAAATCAACTACTCAAGCTCCAGTAGGGATACTATAGATATATCAAATCCTGTGTATTGTTTACGAGTGAAAGTATTCTGGTTGAGTTTCAGCAGTTTGAGAATGAAGACAGCTCAAACATAAACTGATACTACTGATAGAAGTCAACAGGAACTCAGTCAGTCTTGTGGTGACTGTGCAACCAAATGCCAAGACAGTACTGTCTGAGAGCAGAATCATATGAATATAAAGTTAGCAATAAAAATTAAACTTTGAGACCTTAGAAGTCACCCTTGATTTATAACGCATGTGTGGTTCTCCTGTGAACTGATCCCCCTGCAATTGCCCCTGGCCTGGATTTTGGACGACACCGTCTACTATAAAAGGGAAAGGCCTGATCAAGGAGTGAAATGATAACCGGAGGTAGGCGTGGGACGGGAGGTAATTCCAAGGAACCCTGCCCTCTGGATCTCAGGTATCCAGTTTCATCTCTTGCTGCATGCCTCGTTACCTATCAGCAAAAACATGAACATCAACTTCAGATGACAGCAGGCTAAAATTGGTGGCTATCAAAACCCAGGAACTGGCAAGGAGTTTGGCTGGTGTATCTGCTTTCAAGAGAGGAAGCCCTGGGTTCAGACACCTCAGGGTGAGGAGACTGTGTGCAGAGCGGGTAATGGGGACGGCATAAACACAGCTTAGGCTCTATTAGGCAAAAACTTTCACACTATTAATTAGTCACAGCTGCACACCCTCCTCATATCTCAGCCATATACACTGGCTGATGACTGAAGACCAAAAGGTACTCTGTAATCCATACAAAGTTCACTCCACAGTATAAGATTTTGTCACCGTTTTATTGACTTAATATGGCCATTGTCAGATTCCTATATACGGACAGTGAAAGCACAGAACTTCACTAGTCAAAAGACATAGTAGAGCTGTACACTGCCAAAGCTGATATAAGAGGCAATATTACCTTATAGTAGATATTGCAGTGTTAGTAAAAAAAAACTGCATTAAAGAAATGCCACAAAAATACAGCAGTAGCAAGTGTATTTGCAAAATTTTGATATGCATTTATAAATAAAATTGCTATCAGCTGAAAACATTAACACTAACTGTCAAATATAGATCATAATCAGGCTATAATACCTAGGTTAAAATTGGGCTAAATGTGGTCGAATAGTGAATGTTTTTTAGATGTCATAAAGTCATAAAAACCTGTTGAAACATATTTATATTTAAATTATATCTAAAAACTGTCATTTATCAGTTTAGCCCAGATCTAATTAAGGGTAAGCAATGTTGTTAAAAAAGAAAAACTTTATGACAACTGCTACCACCATATAAATGGCATAACAAAATCTCTAGTAGACAAACTATCTATGATACTATCTCTTGATAACATCATACTGTCTGACCCTATTTTTCTTTTGACCTGCGATACACCAAATCACTGCTTTCTGAGAATTTTTCTATCTTAGTCCTAAGTTTAGCTTTATGTAAAATCTTATTTTACGAGCGATTGTTGAGGAAAATGTTTGAGTCTGTAGACCTAACGTACAGCAGCTTGAATCCGAGGCCTCACAGATACAGCTTTACTTCTATAGACTCATTCCAGTGTCTGAGACGCTGTCATCACCGGAGCATACGTCAGACCGGGTCAAATGCCCCCTATTTCATTTCGAGCAGAGTAGTTGGCACTAGAACGATGTGATCTGAAGAAGCTGTTGACTAGTCGGGCTGACCTTCTAAAAACTCCTCTTTCAATTTATAACACACTCTCACACACACAAACATGATATGCACATGCGTTCATTCACCAATTGCACTAATAGCAAAGCCGGATACACACTTACAGAAATACACACACACTTTGTAAATACTTGGCCTGGGGTACGGGAGGAGGTGAAAGCCAAGGGGAGTCACTGACACAAGTTGGTCCTGTGATTACCTAACGTCTGTAATGGGTTAGGAAGGAAACTCATCCTGTCTATATTTAGCCAAAGACAAGCTTCAGGATGAAATGCACTTCATCAAAATGGTAATAAACATTGGCTCCTTTTAAGTAAGTAAAATTACTGTGTTTCAGAATATCAGAGCTTTGTGATAATGACTCATTATTTGAACAATTTTCATATCATAATTATTTTAATGATATCATGACTGTGTATTATTCAGTCAGTTCATACAGTCATAATGGATCCTTTTCATTATGCTATTGTGACAATTAGAGATTGCTTATCTTTACTGATAGTCGTGTTTACTGTCATATCATCACAACTATTATTAAATTATGATATTAATGCCAGTTGAAATCACTGATTTTCTCAAAATAATTTTTTTTTCTGAAGACTGGTGAGAAAGCAGATGTTTTCCTTGCTGTGGGTGAATCCACAGTATCCTGTTACAATGGGGGTCTCCTACATTCATAGGTCGAGCCATTAATAACGATGGGAGGTTCCTCGCTGTCAGCGTTCATGCACCCTGCAGGCTTCAGGGCATGTGTCTCCCAGGCTATGTCTCATTACATGCAGTCACTGTTAAGTATGCACGTACATGCATATCTACCTACATACTCTATCTCCAAATAAATGTATGGATGGTAGAAACACTCACATGGCAACAGAGTAGACAGTAAATGTTTCTATACTGTTATTAAATTATCATATAATATTAATATTGTGCTGTAATAATATTATTGTACCTACAAAGATTTAGGTTAAAATACCACTCGTGAATTTAAAAAAAATGGTAATTAGAGGTGACAAGCTCCTATAAATCCTGACTGAATGTTTCATATGAAATTCTTTTGTCTTTTCTTTTGCTTTGACTTAAGTATAAGAGTCACGTGTCTATTCCTCAGCTTGTTTGCTATTGTTTGTTTCCTTGGATACGGTCAAGGCCTTACATCTTGGCTTGACCCAGACAGTCATTTGGTGAACGCTATATGCTAACACATTAGCAGCAGGCGGCACCGTGTCCTGACACTGACATTTGACTCTGAAATCCAACCCTTTATTCAGTAATGGAAACACACCCCAAAAGTGTGCTCCTCTGGGAACCTGTTCTTTTGAACCAGACTGTGTAAAAAAAACAAAAAAAACAAAAAAAAAACCTCTCTGATAATAAGAGTTTGTGATGGCATGTTATACCCGTCAAAGATTGTCCGCATCGACGTAATAATTTAAACCGTCCAGGCTGGTTTTAGTAACACTGATTATCACCCCTGTGCTATTATTGTTGTAGTCCAGTGTCTACAACTGCTGTGACTGATATAACTGATACAGCTTTATGAAGGCAATGAAAATGGAAAAAACTGAGCTGTAAATAGACCACAATGCTGCAGTGGACATATAACTTCACTCTGTAAAGCCAGGGCACATCTTTTAAACTTTTTATCATTCAATCTTGTAGAGCAGAAGAAGAATGAAACTCTAATGTAACAGAGAGTAAACCTCCAACACCTTCAGTTTAAGAGGATCTATTAGATTGGAACTACTTGCAGCTGTTTTTTTGTTTTTTTTACACCTCAGTGACCCCAAGGCCAGGTCACTTGTCTTCTGGGGGTCCCCATGTTCCAACATGTACAATTGAGCCCTTTAAGCGCAATGAACGGTGAATGTTATTTTGGCTAAGACTTCCTGAAGACGCTATCCTCCCTGGCTACTCAAGTGTCAGTCAAGCAAGCAGTTTCCACTGGCTGGGTCCAGGAGGGCCCCTGGTTATATGGGTCTCTGTGCTTCCAAGCATTCAAGTTATTTCATCTTATTTATTTCAAGACACATTTAATATGTAGCTGCAGAAAAACAAACATCACTCCACTAAACAAGCTAGATCTATTTATCATGTTCACTTGTTTCTTAAACTGTGGGCTGTGACCCAAAGTAGACACGGGCCGGGTCCTGGAGGTTCCCCTTGTGACAAGAATAGCCCCATGATTTCATGAATGAGGGACCTGCTGGGTGAGAGACTCCATTTCTGAGTGGACTCTGGATCTGAAAACGTATTGGACTTCTCTCTGAACAAAACAACAATGAGGACTTTGGGACATTTTTAAAAACATTAACTTGCAACCCAAATGAAAAAGATTACATTTGTGAGGCTACATCATGTTTACTTGGAAATCCCTGCAGTGCTACAGTGAAGTGGGCGAGTGTGAGAGGGACAGCAGCAGCAGCAGCAAGTGTCATCTGGTCTTCCAACTTGGGGAGGGCTTTGGAGTTTAAAATGGTGTGAATATGATAGCCATCTCTAGCCATCAGTATAGCTTATGCAAGTGGAGATCTGTCTGCACCATTGAAAGTTGACAGTTCAGAGGCTCTAATCTGACAAAAGGACGGTGTAAATCAACAACAGCACAACGATTTTGGATATCAACAAATAAAACAGTTGGGACTTCAGGAGCAAAAAAAGAGGGGGGGACTCTGCCTGAATCTCGGGCGGCTGCATGAGAAAGAGAGTTGGGAGGACGCACGGGCAAAAGGGCAAGAGGAAAGCACCAAGGAGGTGAGTGACGGATTTACCCTCGGAGGGGTAAAAAGATGACTGTGGTGTCCCAGGAGAACCACGACGAGAGTGTGGCCATTACTCCTTTGTTGCAAGATGCTGCTGATTTGGAACCAGCGGACCAGGAGTGCAGCGAGAGGGTGGTCATCAACATCTCAGGCCTGCGCTTTGAGACGCAGTTAAAGACCCTCTCCCGGTTCCCGACCACGCTTTTGGGAGACCCGCGTAAAAGGATGCGTTTCTTTGACCCGCTGAGAAATGAATACTTCTTTGACAGGAACAGGCCGAGCTTCGATGCCATTCTCTATTATTACCAGTCAGGAGGGCGGCTTCGGAGGCCCGTGAGTGTACCGGTGGATATTTTCTTGGAAGAAATAAAGTTTTATGAACTTGAGGAAGAGGCCATAGAGCTTTTCCGAGAAGATGAGGGCTTGGCGAGGGAAGAGGACCGCCCGCTGCCCACCAACGAATTTCAACGCCAGTTGTGGCTCCTGTTTGAGTATCCAGAGAGTTCAGGACCTGCGCGGATGATTGCCATTGTGTCCGTTATGGTTATTTTGATATCCATTGTTATATTCTGCTTGGAGACGCTACCCGAGTTTAGAGAAGTCCCTCCAGTGCTGGACAACCAGATCAATGGAAGCGCTCATGGCAAAGCGCCCAGCCCTTTCACAGATCCGTTTTTCATGGTGGAGACACTTTGCATTGTGTGGTTCTCTTTTGAATTCACCATGAGGTTTCTCTCGTGTCCCAGCAAAGCAGCTTTCTTCAAAAACATCATGAACCTGATCGATGTTGTGGCTATAGCTCCATATTTCATCACCCTGGGCCTTGATCTTGCAGAGCATCAGGGCAGCAGTCAGCAGGCTGCGTCTCTGGCCATACTCAGGGTCATCCGTCTGGTCCGTGTTTTCAGGATTTTTAAACTCTCCAGGCACTCCAAGGGTCTCCAGATTCTCGGCCAAACGCTTCACGCAAGCCTCAGGGAGCTGGGACTGCTCATATTCTTCCTGCTAATCGGAGTGGTTTTATTCTCCAGTTCAGTTTATTTTGCGGAAGCAGAAGACCCCGAGTCTGGATTTTCAAGTATACCTGATGCGTTTTGGTGGGCTGTGGTGACAATGACCACAGTTGGTTATGGAGACATGTGTCCCTCCACCATTTGGGGAAAATTCGTTGGATCTTTGTGCGCCATCGCCGGAGTACTCACCATAGCTTTGCCGGTTCCTGTTATAGTGTCGAATTTCAATTATTTCTACCACAGAGAGAACGACGAGGAGGAAAATATTCAGTACGTGCACGTGACCTGTGGGCACCAGGAACAACCCTCCTTTGATGAATGTGATTCAAAGAGAAGTAACCAGTCGCTCTCCAAAACGGAGTCCTATCAGGAAAGCGACGACCTGGAAGCTCTGACATATCCAAACATTAACCCACTGGACACATACACGGGGAAACTGACAGATGTATGAAGACCGTGGGTTGTTTGTCTGGTGAGTTGTCCTCCAGTGAACATGCAGGTTAGGCCTCTCCATCTCGGATGCTGCAGGTGTTTTACGCACAATATCTACAGCGGTTCCCTAACGTGGAGCCTCAGATCTTCATTTTACAACTCGCACCAGAGTGAGGATTGGCTTAATTTCACTCCAACTTAATTCACCAGATGAGAAAACCATTCCTCCTACTGCTACAACCTCTTATGTTTTCTCATACTGGGGCCACTGGTAGAAACACAAACAATAAGCGGGAAGCAGTGAATTAAAGCTTTATACTCGGGAAACCTCAAATAAAAACATTTGGCAACCCCTGCGGCACCCAATAAAACGCATGGAATATTTGAAATACAGCAGTAACATCAGCAGAAAAAAAAATCAATGGGTGACGGTGGGGGGTGGGGGGCAAGTGGTTTTACTTTACTAAACCATGCGTAAACCACGCGTAAGCCTTGGATAAAGTAGGTGAGGGGAGCTCAGCCGTGTGTCAAAGCGCCAGTGACGCACAAGCCAACCAGCTCTCCGCACCGGAGCGCACGGCGAACCAGCGACACAGACACATAGACCGAGAAAATAATCTTTTGTCACGTTAGTTTTTGGGTTTAACAGGCCGTGTGTGTGTGTGTGTGTGTGTGTGTATGTGTGTGTGTGTGTGTGTGTGTGTGTGTGTGGGTGTGTGTGTGTGTGTGTGTGGGGAGAGATGACTGCAGCCATGAGGCGCTTCTTTAGTTCTCACTGAGGTGTTCGAGCTGAACCTGTCCTCGTGCGTAAACACGGGGGGCTTTTACTATATCGTGCATCCATCATGGCGTCACACAGACACACAGCTGGACATTATGTAAACCTACTTACAAAAAAAGTTAGAGGTGGGTAAATTTCTTAACTTTCGCCACTGCTCCCATTTCTGATAGATGCCTTCGTATAATGGCGTGTGTGCATCTGTCTTCTTGCAGATTGCTGCAACACTCAGGATACGATGTTCAGGTTTACCTGTGTTTCATAATAACGAAATCAATTAAAAGACAAATATCTCCTTATCACAGGATAGTTTTTTTCTAAAAAAATAACAACTCACAATTGTGAAAATGCTAAGTCATATTTATGAGAGACAGGAAAAAAAAACATCTCTGACTTTATTTTCTTGGAGCTTTTCATATAGGCTACTTCCAGTAGACAGAATAAGTGAGCTGGGAGCGCCACTCTGTGGATGACAAATACTCCTGCAGACAACTTTCTGCTCAGGAACTACAGTGTGTAAAATTAACACTTTAGCTGGAGTATCTTTGCACTGTTGCAGCTGGCCCTGACTGATTTAGGCTTAAGCCTCTGAGACCGTGCTCTTTGACTCAGTATGTATCCGGATGCTTGTGATGGTGAACTAAGCTCACCAGATACTTGCCTGCTTTCCCTCACCTACTAATGTTAACATAGTGAGTTTTGTTTTCTGCTTACTTGCAGGAGGCAGACGATTAAATGAAGCTCGTTGTTCCCTCAGAGTCTCAACAAAATACAAGTGTGGCATTCTCTTCTTCTCCAAACTATTGGATCATTTTCTCACGGATTATTCTTGCATTGCCAGTGATGTAGCCTACAGAGACCTCACGGTGGAAACGCATTGTGTGTATGGACACTGTGTAACATCAGTAAAAAAAAAAAAAAAAACAACATTCTTTTGTGTAGGCGTTGTAAATGACCATGCTTTCCTTGTATAAAAAAAGCCTTGTGTACATACTGCGTTTTTGTAAATCTGAATTTCCCCTTTTCTTATGCAGCTTATAATGCAAAGTTGGAAACGCAACATACCTCTGTGTTGTTACAAACATTCAGAATGCATATGCAGCTCGCTGTAAACAACATAGCCAAAAGTATTATAGTGCAATGTCTGCATGACATGAATTCATTGTGAATTTTAAATGTAATAAAATATTTATTTTTCTAATTTAAACATGTATGTGAACTTAACTTAATCCTTTTTATAAATAAATTACGAATCAGAAAACATACCACTCGTTATGTTTTCATTCAGACTCTGAGATGTCAACAAGGAATTTCTAATTCATGTCCATTAATTATGTCCATTAATTAGTTCAGTACATTATATCTCTGTTGGCGCTGAAGCAGAGCTGTCTTGCCACAAAAGCAATGGAATTCATAAAATTCATGCTATAGTGATAAATGAAGGGGGATTTATTTGGCTGGAAGCAGGTTTTAACAAATTAGACAGAGGTCCGATAGTGTGTGTTTTTAGAAAGTCAGACAACAGTTGTTTTTGAGTCTGTTCAGCTCTGCCCCTCACTGTTTTTAGGCCCTGATGAACCCTTGCACCCACACACAGCTCAGCAATGGACAAATACAACGTATTATTTGCTTGTTAATATATTGTGTTGTAGTAACTTGAGGAGCATTTGGTCTCGTTTGTTTTGGGGATTTGTGGTTTGTGACTCAATCATCTGCGCTGTCCGTGGTGCTGAAAATGATCCCGCGGCCTCTGCAGAGCATCAGTCCACTGAAGACAAAGTTATGCCAAAGTCACACTGTTTGTCTCACACCATCCTGGCTTCTGTGGGCAGATGTAGTGATGAACGTGCATTGGGAGGACATCATAACTAGTATCAAAGATCTTGGACATGAGATCTGCACATGCAAGCTGTCCTACAAACACAATGCCGACGATTTTTATCTTTCTGCTCATTAGTAAAATTATAATTTTTTATAAACTTACGAAATCAAATTTGGTCTCACAAAAGCTCAGATACTCTGGCGCAAATCAATCCCTCACACATCCAACTAACCCCCATGTAGGCTAATCCTTAAATCCAGGAGTGATCGGATGATAAGGTAATTGTTTTAATCTCTCACCAATTGATGATAGACTACCTTTTAAATCAGAGATCATCTCAGATGCTGCACAGTGTGGATTGAGAGGTTTTGTTACCAATTGTCCTTTGCAGTGGAATTGCGCCAGTGCTGGCACACAAGCGCTCTTGTTTTTGTGGTGTATATGGAGAACTTCTGGCGGCGTGCTTTAGTAGAGCCGGTCTGCATTGCGTCGAAACCCTCCAACTCCTCCTCCTCCTCCTGCTGCCCTCCCTCCCCTCCCCTCCCCTCTCCTCTCTTTCCCCTCACCTCCCCTGCACTCGCATGTAAAATGCACAGCAGAACATGCTTGACATTGCCGAGAAAACACTTGGACCTTGCTGCTGCACTTGACTGTCTCTCCACTATCCATTTAGATGTTTCTTTTATTCTGCTCTCCGATCCGTTCTGAAACACATTCAGCCCATCATCTTGTCTACTCGCAAGAAGCAGCAGATTTCTGCTGATGCAGTGATGTCTGGAAATGTCAAGGGCTCGCTTGTTGCCCCCTTAATGTATCTCCCCCCCTGAACTGCAGCGCAAGATTTTCTCCTGCGGTATACTGTAGGCTGTTCACACCACCGTGCCGCCGCGCAAGCAACTACCGACGCTGCAGCTTGTGCAATCCTCTCCTTTCGCCCCATTTCCATCTCAGGCTTTCCCTGACTTGACTCACCTGATTTCCATCTTGTTTTATCTCGTCTTGCTTCACCGTCTACAGACGTTTATCCCTATCCGAGGGCACTTTGTGGGGGACACAGTTGGGATGGTGATGAGCACAGAAAGGCTCTAGGCTTTTTTTCTTTTTTAGTCGGTGCAATGTAAAGTTGCCACATGACACCCACTGGTGCCCCGCTGTTGGATGATTTTACTCGAGGATAAGACGCATTCAAGACCTTTCAAGATCAACCCACGGTAAGCCTCGAAAATGCTGATTTATACAACTGATATCTGTCAGGTTATTATTTTTTATCGACAGCTGCTGTTAATGTAAAGGTAATACACTACTGCTGTATTGTTTTCTGTCTATCTTAAGGTTGGATTGTGCCTATTTTGCACCGCATTAGGCCTATAGACAGAGTACATGTAGAATCGTCAGTTGCTATAATATCACTATCAAATGTTATGCGTCACATCATAATTCAGGCTTGAGAGAGTGGCGTAGGATAAATCCCTGCCATGCCCCTTTAAGACATTGAAACACTGCAATTCTATGACAAACTAAATTAAACATCCGTATAGAAATGTCATAGGAGTGTAACAGATAATAACAAGATAAAATACCTATTGAATTACTTATAGGAACTTGAAGATAATGTAGAAAATACCACATAGTACAAGAAGATCATCATAAACTCACAACTGAGTACTACAGAGAGAGAAATGCCTATACTGTAGAAATGTCAGAGAAATTCTTCCTTGGGGTAGTATCTTTTTACCTTTACCACCAGATAATTGCACTAATTGCAGGCTGAGAGAAGTAAATAAATAAATAAATAAAACTGCAGAAAATGCTGAGCCAGCAAATATCTTGGCAGTTTGATCCTATTATTTCCTCCCTCTCCCTCTCTCTCTCTCTCTCTCTCTCTCTCTTTCTCTCTCCCTCTCTGGTTGACAGAGGCAGCAGTAACAACAGCAGCAGATCCACTGGAGAGCAGCAATGGTCAAGTCAGCGAGAACCGCAGTGGAGCCGCACTGAGGCAAAGCAGCCAACCAGCCCCCTCATATCAGGGGACGTCTCCAACAATTTAAGGGGTGTGGGAAGCTGAGGAGTGGAAAATTTCCCCCGAACCTGAATGCCTGTTCAGTCAGACTAACCGACATCCCAACACAACTCCTCCTCCTCCTACTCCTCCTCCTCTTTTCCTCTTCCACCACCTCCTCCTCCTCCTCCCAAAATGACCGTAGTAGCAGGAGATAACATGGATGAGACCTCGGCTGTCCCTGGCCACCCTCAGGACACCTACCCTCCAGACCACAATGACCACGAATGCTGCGAGAGGGTGGTCATCAACATAGCTGGTCTCCGGTTTGAGACACAGTTGAAAACTCTCTCCCAGTTTCCAGAGACATTGCTGGGCAACCCCAAAAAGCGGATGCGGTACTTTGATCCTCTGAGAAATGAGTACTTCTTTGACAGAAACCGCCCCAGCTTCGATGCCATCCTCTACTACTACCAGTCTGGGGGTCGGCTGAGAAGACCAGTGAATGTCCCTTTGGATATGTTTTCGGAAGAAATCAAATTTTACGAGCTGGGAGTGGACGCGATGGAGAAGTTTCGTGAGGATGAGGGTTTCATCAGGGAGGAAGAGCGCCCTTTACCTGAGAAGGAGTTCCAGCGTCAGATTTGGCTCCTCTTTGAGCATCCAGAAAGCTCTGGCACCGCCAGAGGGATTGCCATAGTGTCTGTGATGGTGATCCTGATTTCAATAGTCATATTTTGTTTAGAGACTTTACCACAGCTGAAGGAGGACCCAACAAGTCGAGTGGTGGGGAACTCTACCATTTATTACAAGCCAAATATTCTCACTGACCCCTTCTTTGTCATTGAGACACTCTGTATAATCTGGTTCTCCTTTGAGTTGATAGTACGCTTTCTGGCATGCCCAAGTAAACCGGCCTTCTTCAAGAACATGATGAACATGATCGACATAGTGGCCATCATCCCTTACTTCATTACACTTGGCACCGAGCTGGCTGAAGACCCAGAAAGCGAGGGGGTGGGGGAGCAGGCAACATCTCTGGCCATACTCAGGGTGATCCGTCTGGTCAGAGTGTTTAGGATCTTCAAGCTGTCACGACACTCCAAAGGACTTCAGATTTTGGGGCAGACCCTCAAGGCCAGCATGCGAGAGCTGGGGTTGCTGATCTTCTTTCTGTTCATTGGAGTCATCCTGTTCTCCAGCGCTGTCTACTTTGCTGAGGCAGAGGAGCAAGGATCCTACTTTGGCAGCATCCCGGATGCATTTTGGTGGGCTGTTGTGTCTATGACAACTGTGGGCTATGGGGACATGGTCCCAGTCACTATAGGAGGCAAGATTGTAGGATCTCTGTGCGCTATCGCCGGAGTGTTGACAATTGCACTCCCAGTGCCTGTCATTGTGTCCAACTTCAACTACTTCTACCACAGGGAGACCGAGGGAGAAGAGCAGGCCCAGCTGCTCAACGTCAGCAATCCCAACATCCCCTCTGAAACCAACTCCAGCCGCCGTAGTTCATCCACCGTCAGCAAGTCAGAGTACATGGAGATTGATGGAGACATAAACAATAGCATCGACAACTTTAGGGAGGCAAACCTCAGAACTGGCAATTGCACTATAGCCAACCAAAACTGTGTAAATAAAAGCAAGCTGCTTACAGATGTTTAGACACTAGTTAGGAACTTTGGGATCTCTATGGGACTGTCATATGTGGAGTAGACCATCAGTTAGGAATGCTTCATTTACCTCCCCAAAGCGCTCAATGGCATTAGGCCTACAAATATGCTCAGCTATATAGAAAGGAAACAGAAAAAACAAAGCTGTTAGAGTATATGACAGGTAGATAGAATAATTAATTCTTCTGATCCTACAAATATATAGGTATATCAAAAAGAAAACATTGACTACTACACATATACATGGCTCCCTGGAGGATGCAGAGCACACACCGTCTTATCAGACGATGGCGTGATAATTAAAATCTTATGCATGGAGTACAGATAACATTTCAGCAAGTTGCACAATGCACCAGAAAAGTCTGCAGAGACATGCAAGCATCTGCAGCCAAGTGGTAAGCGCCAAGAAGTTAGGTGACACCCCCCTCCTCTCTCCTCTCTCCCTACAAAGGATCTACTATTCAGCAAAGCACCTTATAGGAGGAAGACTGATCTCTCTTGTTTGGATGTAAACAGACGGTGATCTACTCGCTTCACGGACATCCGCAATGCTGCTGTTTTCCAGCAGATGCTGTAATTGTGATATCACCAAGTGATTCAATGCCATGCCCTTTAGATGCAACACAGCACAATGATAAAGTGAGCTTCACACGAGCATGATTAGAGACTTTCCATTTTGATATCGGCATGCATGAGACATATCTCACATAATGGAAAAGATGTTCTTTTGAATATCTGCCTCCATCCCCCCCTTCTCATCTGTTTTCATACTGAGTGCACTGGATGAGTTTTTAATTTGAAATGCTAATCATTTAGAAGTATAGAAATTGAATGTTAAATCTTAAGGGAACAGTACATAAATGAGATCATAGCATGAAAAAAGTAACCTGCATTATGGTCTACTGACTAAGATACTTTTGTATCCTGGTATATTTAATGCATGACATGAGTATACAGCTTGTTGCAATTCAGGCACTACTGCAGTGCCCTACTGTCAGGGAAACTAAGGAAATCAAATTCTGGACGTTTCTGAATTGCGATCAAATATATCCAAACCCACCTTGAGGATGCAGAGTTTCTAATTTAAAAGTAGACAAAGAAACTGAATAAATATTATCAAAAATGCATATAATCATAATAAGCACCAATTACAGTATTACGTCAATAGTGCAGTGCATGGACCTTCTTTGAACAAGAAAAGTTAACATATTATTAGTCATGCTACCATCTCCACGTCAAATTTTTTAGTACATTTTGTTCTGGAATCCACTGAAGAAGATCATTACCAAAATTTCACTTTATATCACAGAGAATTATTCTGACATTAGTTGCTAGTGCCTTTATCCCTTTCACCAACAGGACCAGTGAAAGTGCCTCTGTGTACAGTGGTATTTGTGAGGTTGAGCAGAGCTGGTTTACCTTCTGTTTTAGTGTTGACACACAGTTGGTTATGATGTGAATGATGCCAGAGAAACAAGGTTGAAATAGCAGATGATTGTGGTCAAAAAAACAAAACAAAAAGATGATCCATGGCCGTCATGCACAACCCAGTTTTCATGCACTTAATTATGCCCTTAAGCAGCAATGTATTGTACTCTGCATGTTTACCAATCCACTTCAAAAGGGAATATCCATCGGTTTTCAACATATTTTATTTATGTCTGTTGTTTTTGTTCGTGCACCATGCATCCTTTCAGGGTCTCTACCTCAGTGAGGTCATTGCAAACTTGCTGCAGAGCTGCAAGCTTCAATGCAGGGCTTCCTATACCATAATGCAAAATGGAACCTTAAGTGTAAACTGCAGTCATGCAATATTGAATGTGAGAGTCCCAAAACATAGCCTTTACACAAGCACTTAGGACAAATAGTGTACCAGAATCCCGCTCCTTTCATTCACTTAAAGCTACGCACAATCAGAACATTCATTTCTAGAGAGTTTATAGAGATTGAACTTGCTTGACTCTCCTAACAGGATGAGGTTGACTATTTTATATGTTAGTTTCTTTGAAACAATGGTATGTAAAAGTTACTGTTGTATCACAGAAGCACACGTTAATGTGTTTTAGCACGTGTGTGTAGGAGAGAGCAGAGAAGTTTGATATAGTTTTTGAATTTGTCATACTGCAATCCTTGGGTATTATGACGCACACCAAAGTGCAGCCCGTCTTTTTGCACAATCGTTGTGTTCTGTTGCTTGAACCATTTCTGCTTGTTTCTTTTTCACTGTGCTCGCTCATACGTAATGCATTGTTTCACAGCACATTGTCCCAGACAGGCTTACTGCAGATAGAGAGACTGGGACAAATTGTAATGACTACTTGAAAATCTTCAGCTACTGTACATCAACCTACACTCAGTATTGAGATGAATACATTCAAATGATAGTAAGATTTTGTACTGTATGCTATTTATTTATTTTTTTTTAATTTAGCACTCTCCTGATACGGTCCTGTGAAAAAAAGCTCCACTGCAGTGTTACTTGAATGTCATAGTTGTTTCTGTTGGTGCAATGGCTAACCTTTGTGGTGCTAGTACGGGACTACACTTGTTGTCTTGTTACCATCACATGTTATCTGAAGCTGAAGCCTACATTGATTGTTTTGGGCAAGACTTTTTCCATTCTATGATTCTTGTTCCTAACTGTTTTGTTATTGGTGGCTGGTTGGTTAGTTTAGGGCACTGTTTGTTATTTTACTTGGAACTGATCTTTGTACTGTACTGCTGAAGAGTGTCTGCCTCAAGTGAGGTGAATATTCAAGAGCCTTGCTAGATGTCAGTAACTTATCATGAGAGCAAAAAAGACACATATTTGTGTCAGGGATCTTCGACTTGTATAGGGTTTCTTGTACAGAAGGATGCCAATCATACCCAATACCATATATTTAATACCACATATAGGATGATACAAGGAAATTATAGTCGTCTCATAAATGCAGCTATCAGGAAATTGTTCGCTTTAGTCACGAGTTCCTTGAATGACTGATGCTTGAAAGTAGTGATGTGTGTAACATGTCCTGCATGCAACAGTTCAACATGAGGTGAAGAAAATACAAATGACACCCCTCACATTAGCAGTGCTGTTGCTACTCTCGCTGTGAGGGCATGTATGGATGGTGCTATGCATTCGATTACCCAACAGAAACATGCATTCTGAACAGCAATAGAATAACAGATAACCTGTTTCTTAGATGCTTTTTTGTAAAAAACAAAACAAAACAAAGAAAAACAAATCTATTTTGAATGTCAGTGGAACTGCGATCACTTGACAGATACTCACAACAGGGCTGTTTATGTACCAACCTCTTACCCTCTGTTCTGTGATTTTGTAAGGTCAGTGAGGTCAAATGTGGAGGCTGACATTTTGTTGAGAGAAACCCGTGAAAAATCCAAATGTAGGCTTTGTAATAGTGGCAGTCCCCATTAACCACCCAGGTCGGACTCAAGTTGTTTTGCAGTCAGGAACAAAGGCTGGACCTTATAACACAGTCCCAAAGGAACAGCCCATAATGCACTTAGAGAGGATCAGTCATCAGTTCACTGGACTGATCAGCTGTGTGAGTGAAAGTCAGAGAAGGTGCCTAAATTGTTTTTACATATTCATTTGTTTCGCTTACTGTCAGGTGTTATGCTTCTGCAAACAAACACAAGTGAGAAGATCTAAAAAAAAAAAAAAATGACGACATTAATTTAATTCAACTAAGAAAAAACATGAAACGTCATGAGAACAAAACCGCAATTTAGCTACAATAAGATAGAGAAAAGTAACCACTATATACTGCAATTACGTATGAAAAACTATTTTGATGTGTGTTTTTTTTTTCCTTTTTTCGGTGGCACTGTAACATGACTGATTTAGGAAGAACATGCCATATACTGGAATATCAAAGACAATATGTTCCTCTGGCAAGCCATGATAATGAAACTACTGTAATATGATCAATTGCTATACACTAAATGATATGGACAAGAAGTGTACTATAAAAAAACAAAAAAATATGGTTTGTTTTTTTTGGTTTCAAGAAAAAAAAAAAAGACAGGATTCATCCAAACACCATGTTCACATTTTCCTCACTGCTGAACCTACTGCTATAATGTATCTCTACAGAAACCTACTGATCGCAAAAAAATGCATGGTCGATGGAAGACTGCATGAGCTTTGCCTTTCAAACTGTGGATCAACTATAATACAGTTGCATCATTTTAAAAAAGAAACCCTTGCTTTCATCTGCACCAAGGCTTCGTGTAAAAGGCCCTGTTCAGAAGTTGTTGTGAAGCGTGTCCTCTGCTGGATTTCTCAAAAGCACCCTAGCGCTGACCTCATCACTAAGACAACGTGGGGTATCCGAGCCGTACTCAGCGTCTGTGTGTGATGTTCAGGTTGTGCTTGCTTAGGCTCTGAATGTTAGCAAGGACATCAAGGGCTAGTTTCTCAAACTTTATCTCTATTCTAGGACTGAATCGCTCCTTCAAGTGACATTTCGTCCATTCTTATCTCAGTCTAGACTGTAGTGATACTGTGTTGTGGGAAACCTGCCTGTCATGTCTAAACAGGGCCTGTGCCACACATCCTCCTCTGTACCACATTGGTTTTACGGCATTTTTGTTTGTTAAAAGGTCTCAATACTGGACTGCTTTCTGCCTGCTGAGGAGGCTCTGAACAGGATCAAATGTTGGGATTATTGTGTATCCCGCTCGCCAAAGGTGACTATCAGTGAGAAGATCTGGTTTGTGTTTAAAGCGTGATGGCTATGAGTTTGTCTTTTCTGTCAAAGAACGCACATTTAATTGCCAGTAGGGAAGTTCTGGGGCAAATTGCAAAAGGAATGTTGAACTCTTCTGCTCTTCTTTTCATCCACAAGCAAACCAAACTCTGATTGTGTTATCTAATCCAGCCGTCATTGTCATGTTGTGTTTACTGAGGATTATGCTACAATGTGTTCAGTTTGTCAGATGATGACAAAGGCATGGTCTGTGATCTATGCAAGGGTTATT